TGTGATGGTTTAGGGTTTGGATCAGGGTTCTGTGATGGTTTAGGGTTTGGATCAGGGTTCTGTGATGGTTTAGGGTTTGGATCAGGGTTCTGTGACTGCAGCATTAACATAGAAAAGGTCCAGCAGGGATTTTATAATGACTTATGCTGCCTTCAAGGACCACAGGATTTTTCAGGGACGATGCAAAACCTTTTTCTGCTCACAGTCCGAAGCCTGAGGAAGAACAGGGGACTGGTTCTGGACCGGCAGTCCTGCCCTGTCTTTGAGACGATCCTGTTCTGTTGGACAATATGTTTGCACAAAAACTGGGACTAAACACCTGAAAGTATTAACTGTTCCTCATCAACAGAACATCTTCTTTTTTACTAGAATTACTCTTAAACTGCAGGAATTATTGAATATCAGCAAAACAAATCAAGTTAATGAGACAAAAAAATAAAACAATTTTAACCATACAGTTTGCAATGAAAGTAAGTCCAAATAAATTTGATTTTAAACGCACTTTTGAACGTTAATTATGAAAAAATGGTGAAATTAACAGGAAATAGCTCACAGAATGATCCAGAACATCCATTAGAATGGAAGTGGATGAGTTAGTTCACATCATATGAAAATTATTTAAGCTACCAAACACAGGCTTCAATAAACATGTAAAATAATTTATAAAAAAAAATATTATTATTAGAGAAATCGATTAAAATAAAATCGATTAAGCTCTGACACTTCTGGTCCCTGAACGCCTCTCAGGCAGCAAACCTGCTTTGTTACACATCACCAGTAAACAAAGGATAATTCGGACAAATTTAAATTGTTTTTTTAATTTTAAAAACGCCACAGTGTGAGATGTAACTGCTGCTGCCCGGCTTCAGTCAAACCGGAGCAGGGGGAACATTTCAGGCCTTCAGCGGAGCTCGGACACTTCTGTCCGCGCTGACTGTACGGTTGTTAGCATCGCGGCTAACGGCTCCTCTGACCCATATCTCGGTTCTGAGACGGGTTCTGTTCGTGTTTGTGGTTGTTGTTCGTGAGAGGCGGTGAACAGTCTGCTGTCTGCCAGCGTAACACACTGACACGAGTTAGTTAAAGCTGCAAACCATTGCTAAACAGCTCGGCTAGAACAAGTTTAAGCTAATAAATAATGTGACGTCACCATGAGGCTTTCAAAGACTGTCGGAAAAATCCTTACTGCACTTTATTTGCTTGATACAATAAATAATGGTGAAATAAAACGTTGTACACTTAGGAAACAAAACATTACTTTAATGTGTTTAAATCCAAATAAATAAATTTACTTTTAGATTTTCTTGTTTTGTTGTAAACATGTACTATATATTATATATTGTAATATATGTGCACGACTAAGAGTGTTCACAATATTTTAGTTTTTTAATATTTTTCCTGACTTCGTTTCCTATTTTAACTTATTTATACAGACTTTTTTTTCTAGTATGGACTGTTGTTGGATGTATTAAACAGTTTTGTTTGTGCCACAAAAAAGGCAAACACGTGTAGAAGGAATAAGAGAACAGTTTGAGGAAATCTCTTATTTCTTTAAATTCTCATATTTTATTTATTTATTTTAGAGCAGATACATCAGGTCTGTATAACAGCGTATTGACCAGTTTAATTTGCATGGGTTCCAATAGCGTTTCCATAGCGTCACCAAAAATATGTTACGACTGTGTGCATTTGTAACGATTTTTAAGCGACAACATGATCTTTAGATGTGAAACAGTCCTGACCCACCCACCTGTACAGGTGGGGGCTGTTTAGGTCACATGACTCACCTGGAGCCTCTGGGTCAAACTTGAGGACCCCTCATCTCCCAAACCAGGACGTGGACTTTATTGTCCTTTTTTATTAACAAATAAAAACCTTTAATTCACAGGAAGAAACAAATAAAACGTCTCTTCTTTAAATTATCAGGAGTTTTGGGGGTTTATCACATTTAATTTTTTGGAAAGCTCAGACATGATTGTATCATTCAAGAAAATAAAAATCAGCATCTATTTGCTTAGGTCTTATAATGAACCAGCTCCGGCCTAATGATGATGATTTGAAACCTTTTAGTTTGATAAATAATATTTTTATAATTTATCTGTTTATCTGCTCTGTATGAAGGTTTGTTTTTTCCAGATGTTTTAACCAAGCTCCTGTTTAATTATCAACAAGTATCAAAGACATTAGTTAAACCCGATTTAAAAACAAAATAGAACATGATCTGTTATCTATTTGCCATGATAACCATAACCTGATAATTCATGTGGTGCATTTAGGGGTAATAATTGTACATCCCTGAAAAACGGGAACTCTACAATAATAACCAATAAAAAAGTAACTAAACAAATATTTAATCTATAAATCTGTATTAAACGTTAATTACTATTAATAAACTATAAACTCGTAAAGGTTTTATCGCACAGAATCCGGTCTGACGTGACTCCTGAGTCAGTTCCTGAGGACGGAGCCAGACGGAGGTCCGTGAACGCAGCATTTAAACAACCATTGCTGATTTTTTTTTTTTTTTCCCCACGTTTTTCGCTTTCGGTCGTTTTTCGTCAAAATGGTTGTTAACAAACACGAACCCGCCCGTTCGAACCGGGGCAGCGGTTACCTTCCGAGGCTCCGGACTGTCCTGGATCCGGGTCTGAAGTCTCTCCACGGTTTCCAGCAGCTGTTCCGCCATGTTTACTGCTGGTACCCTGTCCCCCGGAAACGGTTTGACGGTCCGGGCAGAGAGAGCAGAAGCTCGGTCCGGGGAGGAGTTCCGCTGGTCCCGGTTCGGGTTTGGGTTTGAAT